ACTACTACGTCTCTAGTGTACAGGTTTGTGTTCGCAATGTAACCTTTGCCAGGCTGTTAGCGAAAATTGACGCTGGTTCACGCGTTGAGCACTACCAGAAGGGGTTATATGCTTCTGGCACTACTCAGGGGCACCCAACGAGGATAAGCATTGTTGAACGTATTTTAGTATTCAAACGGTAGATATAGGCATATTTTTATCCCCTAAAAACTTTTCATCTGTTCGGATTTCCTAGCTGAAAGTCTAGTGATCCGAAAATTATAGGGATAAAAACTTACCTTCTCGAAAATTTCAGCCAGGAAAAGGCTCCCGAAAATTCTAGGTGGCCTTTTTTAGGGTCAAGATCCGTTAAAAATGGGTAATTATGCCATTTTGTTGATGTTCAAAAATCCTCGGAGAGGCAGGCAAGCAAGAAATTTTACAACAAATTTTCCGAAAATTCTAGATCTCAAATCGTCTTCCGAACAGATATTTTCCCGAAAATTGCCGTTGGGTGCCCCTGACTACTCAGTATTGAGAAAATCTCGTACTCGTAGTCGTCCTCGTCTCAGAATTTAAAGCTTGTGATAACGAAACTTAGTAAAAATTAAAGGTTTAAAATAATTGTGTGGCAGCAGAAGGGAATGTTTCCCTATTTTTTGTACTATGTTAAGCTACCTACGATGACTTTCCTTCATGTCCAGTTTCCATGTTGGTTCGGTCAAAGGCAAGGATGAGAGGAGTGAGAAAGAGCAGGGCGATGCCCGGGGGAATCTGCCCTTTCCCCTTTCTTACCGGCCTTTTTGGAGTACGTGAGTGCCCTCTTGAAACAACCTCATGGTTATTCGCCGCCAAAATATGGTACGTCAAACTGCCGAGAAGAGAAATTTTCGTGCAGTGACGCTGACCTCTGCGTAAAGTACTATCCTGATTGGCACGTGCTTGATAGCCGTGACAGGCACGTGGAATTGCAACATATAGGACTTTCAAGTCAGTAGATTAACGTTAACAGAAAACTAAACTAACATTCCCGCTTTCTTCTGTTTTTCAGTGACGAGCCGTTTAATTTTGAAGAACCCTTGAATCAAGTAGCAAGAAGAGACGAAGGATATTTTAAATTATATGCTGATGGTGTAAATTTTTAATCAATGCCAAAAGGTGCAGATGATCAAGATGAACAAGTCTAATTTATTTCTTAAGTTCGGTAATTTTTTTCTATTAATTATTATCACACGTTGAGTTGTTATTGTATAATTGATTGAAGTGCATAAGACTTTTTTTTGGCCTTAATCAAAGACGTTTTCAAGACAATTATCTTTTGAATCCACATATAGCATGGATTTATTGATTTAGGAACTGTCCACACGTATCCTCCGTTTTCAAACAAAAAAAAAACACGCATCCACACGCAGCGTATTACAATCTTTTTCGCTCTTCCACATGAAAACGCTAAACGCGATGGAAATACGATAGCACCCCTTATTGAGCATGCGCCATGCTAAAAGTATACGATGTATGACATCATCGTATTCGAAAACCTCCGTTTACGCCGTCCACACGCAAACGAATAGCCGGCGTTTTGAAAAATCGCCACTCTAAAGAGCGTTTTTTGAAAAGATGAGTTTTCGGTGACCGTTTTCACCGGATACGTGTGGACGGTAGGCCAAACCGGAGAAAAAAATGTCCGTTTGCAAACAAAGACGAGGCCTAAATCTCCAGTGTTTTGTGGACGGTGAAGCCGTCTGAACAAACTCGGACGCCGCTGACGCAATTAGGCTCCATTATCAGCTGCTACCTGCGCTCCTCTCTTCTCGGGGTGGAACCTGACCCGGGAGGGCGGCGGAAATCGGGTATGTGATGCAATTAGTCTCGCTGCTATATCGAATGAATCCGAAAACGGAAATTTGACCATCCCAACCCTGCCATGGTAAGAATTCCTTTATCGGATTCATTGGAAATCGTCGTGTAAAATTTGATTGACCAGATTTCGTCTTTCATTTGCCAAGAATCTCCATTCGGAGGTGTCCTTTTTTTTTCTTTTTCTTTTTTTTTTCATAGAAAGACAGCTTATCAACGAGGCCGTTTGTACTAAACATTTGTTAAGCAAAACAACTTTTGAAGCAGCAATTATGCTAGTGAACCCTTACCGCTTTACATTAACTCTAAATTTATATTTGATAAAATTTCCTTTCTTTGTTTAATGTAATATTGTGCCTTCAGTTAATTTTTTACATAAGATCTACGAAATAAATCTTTTATCAGGGAAAGTTTTAATTCCTTATTGTCATGTTATAACCTGTTATAATAGTAATGTAGGGAGGGATCAAGAGGTATTTGTGTTCAAAACTCTGCTGAATGTTATACACTTTGTATGCATGCAGTCAAGGGTGTCGTGAAAACAAAGACCCCAAGACCTTCCACCCAGTGACTCTGAACTTAATTGATTAGGGTTAGGAAACTGAGTGAATCAGGTTCCATTTGCGTCATTATACTGGGCAAACTGACCTGAATGTTTATTAACTCAGTTTCGTAACCCTAATCTTAGGGGTTCTGAGGGGTCTTTGTTTTCAAGACACCCTACAGCCAGGCGTGAACGTACACTGAATACCATTAGAGAGTTGGTCGGCCAAGGAGAAGAAGTGTGTATGGGAGGGGGGGTGGAAGCATGTGTGTGTGTGTGGGGGGAGTGCATGTGTGTAAGAGGGTGGAAGATGTATTAATACACCCACAACATATTCCAATAAGACCAAACTGTTTGTTTCTGTGACTGGCATTTTGTAGTTCCCAGAGGTGGATTCAGATCACCACCCCGCTACCCCTTCGCCCCCTTCTGGAAATTCCAGTTAAGATTCATACACTTCGTTTGCATTTTTTGGTCTTTGAGGCCTCCTCCTCCCGCAGGAATTTGCAATCATTTCTGTGGGGGCAGTATAGACCCTGTCTCTTCTTTCTATCCCCTTCCCTAAAAGCCTACCACGCAGGCTACCAAATGCTATTTTTATTCAAAATAAAAAAAAAGGGAAAAAAAAGTGCATACAATTTTACTGAAACCAATAATTTAATCTCAAAGCATTGACCAATTACAGGAAGGAGCTCAAAAGTGTGACCTCCCTTAATTAACTCACATTCTTTCATGCAGACTTTAACCAATCAGAAGTTGAGGACAGTTTCCAGCTGGTTTCTGATTGGATTAAATCTGTACGAAACAACATGAATAAATCAAAAGTGGTCACACTTTAGGGCTCCTTCCTGTGAGGGTAAAGCGTCACAAGCGATTAAATGCACCATAGCCCAGCTCCACAATTTAATTTCCGTACTGTTTCGATTATAAAATATTACAAGTGCCATGATGCCTGATTGTAAATCACATTAAGGTGACAAAAACTGTCAGAGGAAAAAAAAACAATAGCTACAAGATTACTACTGGCTATTTTACAAAAAAACCGTTCTGGTCAAATAATAATTACTGCTTTCAAGTTTGAAAATATTGTATAAAAACAGTCTTTTCATTTTCTTAAGTACATAATCCTATGGATGTTCTGCTTCAAATAGCTTGCTGCATCACTTTTCTGGCTCATCTACCCCAGCTTGGTTCATCAGTTCACCAATGTTTCTTTCTAAGTCATCAATCCTTGTACTCATATCATCAAGTGACAATGGTTAAGGATATTACAGTAGATATTACCATCTGTGCTGTGAAGGGGAGGGTTTAATTCTCTTTGCCTACAATTTGATGATTGGATACTCTAAAAGGAATGAAGAAAATTATTCGAGAGAGTGCTGTTGATGAAAAGAAAAAAAAGCCGGGAGGTTATTTTTTGACCAAGGCCAGGTTTTTTTATCGAAGCTTGGACGTTAAGATAAAACAGGTTTAGTCTTGAAATTTGATCTCAGACATGAAAGCTAAAGAACAGATTCAGTTTAATTCTCTTTGCCTACAATTTGATAATTGGATACTCCAAAAAGAATGTGGAAAATTATTCGAAAGAGTGCTTTTGATGAAAAGAAAAAAAATTCAGGCATACAGGTCGTCCTGTGTTTCTCCGGGAATAAATGTTAGCGCATCGATTAATAATAATTTCTTTTATGTCGAACATGCCCAAGAGGGAAGGTCGTCGTCCCAGGTTAAAATTTAACCCTGGGTTAAAACAAGCGTGTGCAGATTTTGTAAAATAACCCAATTTTTTGGGTTTTTCGTAATTTCTAAAGTTTGCTGAACTGTATGTGTATTCCGTTTCCTGAACCTTGGGAGTTTGGAAAGGATTTACGCTTCACTTTTTTACCCTGGACACCGCCGTGCAATGAATCCGTGTTCGAACAACAGGGTCCTGGTCCCGATTGCTCACACTGCTGCGTTTGTGTTGCTGGTCTCTCGTAGCCCCTACCCCATTATATTCTATTCTGTGGCCAGTTATAGACCCCATCTTAGTCACTGTTGGGAAATATGGAATTTTTTGCGATCCCAACTTAGTCACTTTCTATTTATGTATCTACCTTATCAATTTTTTTAAATAAATCATCCCAACTTACTAAATTCTAAATACCTTTTTCTTTGACTATGTATTGATACCTTATAGCAGAAGGTTTATGTTGATCACTCTTGGGGCTGAAAGAGTTACAGTAAGGGTGAATGTATCTGCTGAGATGAAAAAAAAAGGCCAATTCTGGAGGAGAAGACCGTTAATAGAGGTTTGAATGTATTTTTTTAACTAAATAACTGTCATCATTTTGTACTCCCTAAATAAACTACACTTTCGTGGATATAATCTTATTACAGTGATTATACGTATTAAACAATACCTCCTCACTCGTATTTAGCATTTGAAAGAATTATTTACATTTTCAGTTTATAATGGTACCGAACACTAACAAATTCCAGCGTTGGTAAGACACGTCTTTGACGCGTCAGTGTATTTTTATACTGTAACCAAACGATTCGCTGTACAAACAAAACTTTCAATTTGTGGCAACAACGTTAAGTGAAATTATGGCGGGCCAAAACAATATGTCAGCCAGGAAAAGACCGCTGAATGTGTAGGCTAGGCTAGTCATTAAAGAGAAGAATTTATTTCAAGTTAGGGGATTAAATAATGTAAAGGATATTTCTTGTTATGATTTGATCTGACATCTGTTGAAACTTGTCTTGCTGTAAACGGGAAACAAAGAAAAAGTTAAACGATGTAGAATTAACCGGAACCAAATTAAAGCTTAAATATGTAGACAGTAGTTTCTCTCTTACCATTTGCTGCAGTAGCGTTTGCACCTGTTGAAAAGAAAGAAAAACGAGGCAAAAGCAAAACGGCAAAGCCACTGTCATTTAAAATCTCAAAAAAAATTCATCAAACTAGAAATAAGTTTTCAGTTAAGCCTTCATGCAAATATCAATTTTTTCGAAAAAGCTGAAATCAAAACAGTCGCAATTCGGTGTCTGAAGGTGAAACACAACAACAGATATCAGCAAGAATTGATTTTAAGGATTTAACAACATGTTGAACGTGGAATGGTACAAATCCCGTCAAATCTTGGACGCTCTGAGGGTCTCCATCTTCAAGCTTCACTTGCACTTTCTCGGTGTCCGCCATGTTTGATGTTTGTTACGGATTTGACAAGAGACGCCAAGCGTAGCATCTAGTGCCAGGCCTCACTCGATAATGGCAGGATAAAAGGTGGCGGCAGATCTGACTTGGATTTCAATAATAAAACAAAGAGTGTTTTGACCGATGTCTCAGCATCAAAAACATCTTAGTTCATATTTGAAATCTAGACGGTCAGTTGCATCTAATTCGGGGTCTTCCAAGGAAAGGTAATTCTTGAAAGTAGCTGTGATCTCCAGGTCGAAGACCTGGTGTTGTCACGGGCAACATTGTGATTAACTGAAAAAGAAAAAAGATATGAAATAACAATATACTACTCCATTCTAGTAACAAACAGTTATTACTTTCGATAATATAGTGAACTAGATATTTTAAAATCATAACGTTTAAAATTACTAGCTCGTAATACATGTATTTTTTTTTACTAGCAGGAAAAATGTAGTGGAAGCAAAACCTTCAAAAAAGTCAACAGGAAAAGTCCTTACTCTTCTAAAAACTAAAGCCGTGGATCTTAGAAGGTATCTATTATTCTAGTAAAGCTGCATTTTATGTTTGGGATCTCTAACACAGGGCCGTTCCATTGATTATACTACCACAACACCCCCCGGCCTGTGATAGTACATGTAGATGATCATGAAATTACTTGACTTCTGCCACCTCAGAAAAAAATGAAGGAAAGTACTGACACAGTCCCCACCCCACTGAAAATAGCCCATTTTTTAAATTCCTATTCCCCGTAGAAATATTTGAAAGATCACAGGTACTGAGATACAGCAACACTTCAGAGTCCTACAAAGCCCCTCTCAGAAAATCTCATCTCTAGAGGTGGGGGATGGGGGATGGGGGATGGGGGCTTGGGATATTAAATGGAATGGCTCATATTGCTTTCAGGAAAATTATTTAATTAATCATGTTTCTTTTATAATTTGAAGAAATTAATTGCGCCTGTATAAATGTTTATATGATCTGTTTTTAGACTTCCTGATGAACTTCTTTTAAAGATATTCAGATACCTGAGTCCCTCTGAATTGTTAGTTTGTGCTCAAGTGTGCCATCAGTGGACCATAATTACAAAAGAAAGGTGATTAAGTATGTACTGAGTGCATGCAGCCTAATGCCCCATTGAGTAGTAAAGAGCTTGATAGCAGTTAAACCCCATTTATAGTTTAATAACTTTTCCATTGAGTGCCCCAATTTTTCAAGTCAAAACACCAATACACATAACTCAGAATAATACAAGCAATTGAAGGGCTCTATGCAAAAATGTTCCCTTTTACCCCTTATTTCTCTTTTTGTTGGGAACCATTCATTTTCTTTTTCTTCAATATTAATTCTCTTTGATGAGTGATGAGTAGGAAGTAACCTGTATTTCGGCTGCCTACCCTGCTAACTAAGTCATTCAGGGCAATGGCGGATCTGGACCTTCAGATAAGGGGGGGAAGGGGAGAGTGTGGGGTGGTCTCCAAACAAAATTTTCTCAGCCCTTCAGGCCTCAGTTTGGTCTAAAAATAAGGGGAGGGCCTCCCGTAGATCCACCTCTCCAGGGAGCAGAGAGAGGCTTCTCTCCCCCTAAGCGATTTAGGTAGATGGGTCAGGCTGGAGAAAATTCTCTTTATCTTTTTGACGGTAAACCTTGTAAAATAGTTGAACAACAATTCATAACAAAGTTTTTCCTTGTGCATTTTTAGCTTACTGTGGAAACCATTGCTTTTCAAGCTTCCCAAACAAGTCAGGGATTCTTTAACTTTTGAGGAAACAAAAGGAGAAGGTTTTGACTGGAAAAGCGAGATAATCAAGAGGTAATTAACATGTTAGAATAAAACACAACCTGCTTTAATTCAAACTCTGAAATAAATGTTGGCAAGTACATTTATATATACTCTACATGTACCTTCTCCATAATCATAGCTATCAAAGAATCCCATCTTCAAGGATTTACAGTAGAACCCTGGTAACTTGTACTCTGAAAGGAGGCAAAAACCGTTCGCGTTAGAGAGGGTTTGAGTTATCGGGGTAGATAAAGAAATCAATTTTTCATGTTAATAATTTATAGTTAACTGATTATTCAGCATGTCAGTGTACAACAACCCAGTGCAAATTTAACTTATCTCATCAGAAACTGTAATTAACACATTTATGACAGTCAGTATTTGAATTAATTTGTAAATCGACTAAGCCCAGTTTATGATCTCTTAAGTCGTCAGGGTTGGTACATCTTTTTATAGCTTGCAAAACAGTTTTGTAAGATATAGAAAGGCGATCCGTATTTGCAACTCGCCAAGATCTCATTTTTTACAAAATTGCCAGTTGTCTAAATGGTTCGGAAGTTTGTTGTATTAAATTGTGACAATTTTTCTGCATAGTGAATGACCAAATGTTGCAACTAGAAATCAATACAGTTAAGGTAGACTGCCTCTGAAATTAACCATTCATTTGATACCTCATATGAGACCTATTCATTGCGCTGCTTTAAAAGTGTTAGTTTTTTTTACCAATATAACATGACAAGAGGAGTGATAATGAGTTGGCATCCATGGTGAGTTGCAAGAACCAGAATTCAAGTTAGTGTTATCGAGGTAAATTTTGATCAAGTGAAATGAAATTTAGTTCAAATTAGCAAGGAGTAATCAGTTCGAGTTATCTGAGTTCAAGTTATCCGAATAAAAATGACTAAAAACTAGGTTCAATTCCAAGGTAAATGGGACTTACTTAGAGTTAGCGGGGAGTTCAAGTTATCCAACTTGGAGTTACCAGGGTTCTACTGTATTTGATATTCAAAAAACCAATTTTTATCCATGCTACTCTTATAAATCTGAATTATGTAGGTCCATGTAACATATCCAAATTTTCATACTATTTTTATTGTGTCTTCTGCAGAAGTATAAATGCACGGAATAAGGAGATCTTAGGTTTAAGGAAGAGGAGGAAGACATCACCCTACACAGGCCTTCCAAGTGAAGCACCACAGTCATCTAAACCATATCTGTAGGTTATTTTGATAACTTGGGTAATGTCTATGTCCAGGAAAACTGACGGGACAAATGAATTTTTTTTTTCCCATAATTGTTTGGTGGGGCACTCTGTATATGGAGATAACACTCTTCAGAAGTGACTCCTGATCTAATATTAAATTCTCCCTTTGATTCAGAAGTGAATAACCAATTGAAAAGATATAATTTAGTATAATCAGAGAAAAAAGTCACTTGGGGATGAATTTTAGGCACCAAAGCCCTCATTCTATTGGAGGTAATTTATTATAAAGCCTGCCTGAGACTTTTTTTAAAAATAATAATGTTGTGATTATGTATTGATCTAGTAATCCATGATTTCATTTTTAAGTGGTACAACAACATGAAATCTGACACTTAGTCCAAGCTTAGTTACAATTTCCCTGCTGTTATTGTTACTGGCCTCTTTGAGTTCATACAGAAAGCAGAGACCAGATTGCACCTGCAGGGGCAAAGCATGAGATTTTGAAGGTATACGCACGTGGGGGAGAAAGTTGTAGCGCCAAAGACGGCCCAACCTAGGGGGTTCTGGAAGGCATGCTCCCCGAGAAAACTTTTAAATTTAGGGTCTCAGAAATGCCATTCCCCGCTTTTTTTGCAGGACACTTTTGGTAAATTAATAAGCAGGATAATGCAGTACAGTGTATTTAGTTCTCAATTTAAGAGTTGTTGCTAAGTTACAACAGGAGAAAAAAAGGCCAGTGATGCCACGACAAGTATGGAATAATAAAAGGATAAAGGGAATTCTAACACAATTACACCAATATAGTGCAAAAGAATGTATCAGTCATTCTGATTTAATGGTAGAAAGTGCTTCTTCGGAAAATAAAAATATATATATATACATTTTTCAATCAATGCTCTTCAATTAAATGAATTGATCACTCTACGAAATACGTTCTACCCAGAATACAAGTATTTATATACATTTTTCCATATTTTTAGTTGTAAATGTACATGTACGCACAAGCGTATGTTCATATATGGATGCTACGCTCCTGAGCTGTTGTGTTGAATTGCACTCTGGGATTCTTTTGGGAATACACCGTACCTCTTCTATCACTTCTTCATTTGGCCATCATGAATTTTCACAGGAAATTTAGTCAAAGGTCCAACAGGTTTCCCAAAATTCAATTTACAACTATCCCAACCACCCAGTCTCAGGTGCAGACTTAAACCAGCCAATTACAATTAATATTAGAAGCTCCCCCACTCATTTTCAGCCAATGAGGGTTCAGCTGACTCGGCTAAATTACTGCCCATAACCCTTCCCCATGTGGGGAGGGGTTTACTCCGACCCGTATATGGGCTATAGAGGTATGAGCCGCCTCCCAGGGCAGTGGGTTTTGAGGGTCTTGTTTCTTAGATAGGTTATCATTTTTGCCTTGTTGGCATTGTATTCACGCCCTTAGAGTATGAGGAATAGTTACTGTATTTAATAGTTCATGCCATTGGAGGGTCCTTGTGATATATAATATATAGGACCTTGACTGAAGCCCATCCTGACCCTGGGTGGCACACACCTATCCAAAACTTTTGGGAGTACCCCCCAACAAAAAATGGCTCACACATTCCTGTTTCCTCTCAAAGATCTTGTTCTCTTGTTGAAAAAAATGCCTGTCTGTCTGCATTGATAGGCTTGGAGATGTAAGGTGGAAGCTGTGTGTCACAGATACCTCTGGTAAAGAACACTGGTTGCCTGCTGACAGCTCCAAATTATTTGCTTCTTCATTGTGCATACGTTGGTACTCTATTCAAATACCACCTCTTACAAGATTGAAGGTGCTTCAAGTCTTTGCCTTTTTACCTGTCTTTTACCACAGGAACTGGACACCAAATGAAAATAGGTAAATAGATTTTAGGGCTAGATTTATCTGCTTTGATACCAGGAAGAAAAATGTTTCAGGCCTTGGGCTCATAATATATAAATTCATTATTCCATTATTCCAACACCCCTTAAAAGGGCGTTATTCCATTATTCCAACTCGAGAAATTCCATTTTTTTTTCTTTTTCCATTTTTTTAAATTTTTCTTCAACCCCTGATGATCTTGCTGTAAATTTTACCTGACTGTAATGTGTAATGACTCCTTCATTCTACTGCGTTATACTTAAGCACCATTAAAGAAGAATGACTGACTACGTTTACCCTGCGCTCAAGCTGAATAGGCTATTTCCAATATCTAAAAACTGTCACTTCCAGTACGAGGCTAAGTGCAAACAACTCTTGTGAAAATTAGTTTCAATTGCATGAGAATGAAAAAAAAAATTTTCATATCAATGGGATCGCAATTTATAGTCTCGCTTTGAAACAGAGGCTTGAGGCAACTCGAAAATCACCCATTCAAATCTAAACGTTTACTGAGCAAATTCGTGTAATTTTTGTTTCTATTATAAAGTGCCTGTACAAGAGCCCTTGTCCTCCAGGAAGATCTTCGAAATTCGAGAGGTACTGTCGTTTTTGTGTCACTTTTGATGGGTGGTGAGGGGAAGCGAGGTGTCTGCCAAGGAACTGTGTTTGCATGTGAGTGCTTCCCAAGGAAAATTACAGTGGAACCCCGTTAATACGGTCACCACTGGGCCAAACACATTTGGCCGTGTTAACGGGGTGGCCATATTAACGAGGGTTTTTTACAAAAAAATGTATGGTGGCTTTTGTCAGGCTGCCAAAAAAAGTAGCCGTAATGACGAATTGACGTATTACCGAGGTGGCCGTAAGGCCCGTAAGGCGAGGTTTCACTTTAGCTGATAATTTTCAGTGATTAAAAGGTAACTTGGGGATAGGTGATAACTTTTGTTTGTTTGCTTGTTTACGTTGTATTGCGCCTGAGAATCGTTGATTTTTGCTCTTTTCAGGTAGTTTTATTCGGTTATTTCTCTTTACTTATTAAAGTACGAATAAAATTGAGCCAGGTAGCAGGCGTTCCCAATCGAGTTGTCGGGCGAGAGTTGCATGGAGTGAGTGAGAGAGCAGAGAAACAAAAAAACGAACGAACGCATTAACTAACTTACAGTTGTTGTCAAGGTGCCATGATGTCACGGGAAACAGCCATTAGTGAAGGCGGCCTTATTACAGCGCATGTCATATCACCATCCATGTTAGCAGCGTGTTGGAGTGCATCGTGGAAAGTAAGACACCTTTGTTGACTTACCTCTGGTTCGTTTACCGTAATCGCTCTGATTTAGGCACGCCCGAAAAGATTTGGACACTTCCTTTTAATCCACTCCACAAAAATCCTATTGAGAACTTCCCAAAATTCCATGTATCAAATGAAACTGTACTTTTCTTTCCGTTAAACTGTGTTTCCAGCCAAACTACAACAATTGACTTGCAACGATAGAAAGTGTTTTGTTTTTGTTTTTGTTTTTGTTTGTTTGTTTGTTTTCTTCTACGTGTGGTTATGTTGTGAATGGGTGCAACAACGGCAATTCTTTTTTTCTTTCCTCTTCTTCTTCCTTTTTTGGTTTTGGTTTTGTTTTTGTTTTTTGTTTGTTTTGCTTACCTTCTAACATGTGTTGGGGTACTAATGTGTAATGTTCTCCGCCGCTGTTGCATTTAACAGGACGGCGGAGAGCTGGCCTTCATAACGGTCTGTCTTCATCACCACAACTTAACAGAAAAAATACTCTTTGGCTCACACGACAGGTTCGTTAAATCAATTCATCCCTAAAACCCGCCTACCAATTGTAAAAATAAACTTTAAAAGACGATTCCCAGTGGAAGTTTGAAAAATCCCATTTTAAATCCCAGTGCTCGAGATTCACCGGGCTTTTTCTTTGTCTTTTACCTGTTTACATTCGCTTTTGAAGGTGGAAATTTTATTCGCTGGCAGAGGGTTCCGTAAGAAAAATAAGCTACAGCTGTAGTCCCCTTCTTTTTTTTTTTTTTTTTTTTTTTTTATCTGTGGTAGAACCACCCTCCTGTTCGCGTACATAATCCTCCCCAAATGACATTTTATCGTAATTTTTCTCAGAACATATGTCCCGCCTCCCCATCAACCTGCTCAAGATGACATAGACCCACAATATGGTAAGTACCACTAAGATTAAATACAAAAATACAGTCCAGCCCCCACGTGCCAACCTCTCTATGGGTACTTGCGGACGTTGGTTTCCTTGCGCGTTTTCCATCATATCGGTGGTTTTTGCCACGAAATCGTCGCATATCAAGAATATTTTTGCGTGGTAATTGCTATTAGCGAGCTCACGCAACCACGAAGACGACGACGGAAACGATGAAATAATAAAAGGAAGAGGTTTAATAAGCAAAATTCTTTAATAGGCTGAACTTACAGCACACTTCCTGGCAAAGTTCGCGATTCTAAGTAGCCTGCGTGGCAGGCGTTAAGAGGGGAAGGGGAAGGGAGAATTTGGACGCGCGTGGTCTCGCGCCCTAATTCCCTTCCCCTTCCCTTTCGAACGCTTGCTACGCAGGCTAGTTTCTAAGTGGACGAACCACTTTTCTCACAATTGAAAACATGGTTTGCGTACCTGCTTGGCTAGAGGTAATTTTAATTAGAAAGACATTTCTCACATTCCTCCTGGCTTTTCGTTCAGTATACTAAGTCTGTATTAAACTTTTTTTTTTTTTTGTGACTACATGTATTTGTTTCGCTCTCTTTCCAGGCCTTCACGGATATTCAGCTACGATAGAATTGAGAAATCACGTGACAACTCTCTGGGGGCGACAGTACAGGGAACTTTATCAGCGTAAGCTTTTATCTTGAAAAAAGTAACTTGTGGTTAGACGTTATTCTATACTAACCTTTGCAGGATGGGTGAGTTAAGAGTGTGCTGTTGAAATAACATGGTATAACCATCATCAAGAGCTCTTGCCATCATCAAATGTATCCTCTTTTGTTTGTTTGTTTTTGCTGTTTTCTTTATTAAAATTGATTTAAAGAAAAGCGCCAGGAATTGAACGTGTTTCCATTGAAAGACAAGTAATCAAGAAGGAAGGGAAAAATGTACCTTTGTTTCAGCTTTGTTTATTTTTTTTTTTTCTGTTTTGGATTTAGTAACTCAATCATTACAAACTTTTATTTGCTTTTCTTTTCTTTGCAGAGTATGTAACGGACAGCTATGTGTGTCTTGGTGGACGTGGCAGTGAACATGGTTCCTTCGAGAAGCAACTCTCGCTACCGTGGAAAACGGAGCTTTTCAAGAACGTCCTCCCTGTGAGTTCTGGAAATGCATGTATGCACAACAGTACGTGTATGATCATATAGGGTTTAAACACCTCAATCCCCCCCGAAAACGTGCGGCAAGAATCCTCGTCGCTCTCATAGGGTAGATCCCCTGGGAAGAGGACACTCTCCCCCGATTTTCACCGCCTAGGGCATTCAAGCTTTCCTGTCCTCATTGGCCTCTTGTGTGCCCCTGTAGCCTCGGTAACGCACAGGAACTGGGACGAGTGAGCACGCAAGGCGAGCCCCTAGCACGCAGCAAAGTGAATCACACAATGTACTGACAGTAAACCAGTGATATTCTGGCTCTGAAAATTGTCGTGAAACATTCTTTTGATGTGACTTGTTTGTTTATGTTCATTTGTAGGATATATGTTTCTTAGATGTGACCGTTTTACACGAAGGAAAAGTCCCTTTCTGGTGCATGAGGTGCGCAGTCAGGATGCTTCTCTTGTTTGTCGCCGTGTACATACATTGGATCAATTTATGTTTCTGGGAAACTGCCCACCTACCCCTCCACCGAGCCAACATTATCACTTACTTCTCACTTAGGGCAAAATGTTGGCTTAAGGGGAGGGATAGGTGGGCAGTTTCTCAGAAACCTAAATTGATCCCATACGGATATATTGTACATGTTTGTTTTGTTTACTGGATTTCTACTTGTTGTCATAATAATGACCCACGATCGTTGCCTAGAAACGCAAAATTAAAGGAACTGTGCCTCACAATTTAACCCGGTATTTTCTATTTTATGAAAGACCGTAAAATTCCGAAAATAAGCCCCTCCAAATATAAGCCCCCCAAACCGGTAACGCAAAAAACCCTCCGTTAAACCGCCCCTCCAAATATAAGCCCCCGGGAGTTTTTACTTGGAAAATTACCCTCAAATACAAAGTAAAACAAAGCAAAAACGGTAAATGTACCTTCAACTATAAAGCTAGCAATCGATTTTGAAACGCAAATTTCCCTCCGTAGATAAGCCCCTCCGAAAATAAGCCCCTCCAAAAATAAGCTCCTTAAAAAGGGCCTTTGAAAAATATAAGCCCCGGGGCTTATTTTCGGAATTTTACGGTATTACTAGTAATAAATTTTGAAAACCGCTCAATATCCCCTTTCTTGTTTTGCTTCTTTTCAGTGTTCCGGTGAGGGTATTCAGTAACAAAGCCCATGATGGTAAGTGACTAGGTCATTTGTAAAGTCGGTGGACCGACTTTCTGGAGAAGGATGATCTGTGAGATTAGAATAAAATATTACACATATTTGTACAGAGTTAAAGTCATGTTTTCAAACGATGGGTTTTTTGATTTTTGCTGTTCACATCCTAATGAAGGAAGTCAGATTTTTTACCATGAGATTAGACGTGGAAATTATATTGATGTTTCTCAGTAACACAGCGCGCTTTCATACTGGTCATTGCTTGCCGTCTCAGAGTTTGGGCAGAAAGTTCTCTTTGATCAGGCAAATTGATATTTTTATGAACGTTTTACTTTTCGAAAGAAGCTACATCCGAAACGTGCAAAGTTCCTTTAAATACAATCGTATTGCTGCTGTTTTATTTCGTTACCTTCAGTAAGCTTTCTCCATCGTAAGGCACTGGAAATAGCTTCTCACTCCGTTTAATGAATACGTCCTTTTAAAAATGCTTTGTTCGTAGGCGATTTTTCTTCAGAAGGCGAAAAACTGTTTATTGAATACACGGACGAACATGGGATCATAAGAATTGACCTTCTGAAGGTGAGTTATAACTTTTCAAAATTCCGCTTGAATTACAAAAACAGCGACTAGGTGACTGTTCCCGAACTGCAAGGCTTTTTGAATCGCTTGGTTGACGAACAACGCACCAGCAACGCAATGGCCACTGCTTTTTATCCCGTCCCAGTTTAATTTTTAACCCTTTACACTCTTAGATCAAAATGTGAATTCTCATTTTTTGGCCTTATTCATTTCCTACGGAAGTAGTGGGGAGAAGTTGATAAAATATCAAGAAATTCATCTTGTGTGATCATGTCCGTAATTCTCATGACCACTCTGTTTTACAAAGCATTGATGTTACAAGGACAAATTTGATGCTGATCACTCTTAGGGTACAGGGGAACCCAGCTCTAACGACACCCTCTTAATACGGACACCCGTATATTACGTACAGTTTATTTTGTCCCGTCAAAAAGCTCATATATTTTCTCTCAAATTAACCCAAGTGTGTCCAAAGTCACAAATTCCCATATATCGTCAACCCTAGACTACGAGTAGTCCCAATTTTTCCTCAGGGATAGTAGAGCGAGCGAAACGCTAGCGCGCGTGATTTTCACGCGCGCTAACGTTTCGCTCGCTCTACTATCCCTGAGGAAAAATGGGGATTAATCGTAGTCTACGTCAACCCCGCTTTACGGACGCTGTTCATCTGTGCACTGGCTATGACTGAATATCTTAACAGTGAAAACCTTCTGAACAGAAACGTTGAATGTCCTTTCAAAGGTTCTGTTTAACATTCAGTCCATCTGGCTGAGTCGCAAACTAAAAATAAAACCCTCAGTACAAAGCAGTCACAGATTCCATTCATTTGTCGTATTTCAAGAACAATACTGAAAAATTGAGGTAATTTTAGTGCGCGACTATGATAGTAATCGCGGTGAGGTTTCTTTACTATATATTTTATTAGGCAAGGTTGTTCTCGTAAAAATGTCTGCTTTAGTTTTTTAGTCCCTTCATATCGATAAATTATGAGTCAGGACTTGTTTTATCTGAGAGCCCGCTTAATACGGATACTATGGCATGTCCCCTTGGTGTCCGTATTAACCGGGTTCCACTGCTAATTTTAAGTTCCATCTGTATTTCATTTACAATCAACCTCCGACAAGGGTCACTCTCAGAGCTCAGTCAACTTTACTAAGCGTTTACACTGTATATGAGAAAAGAGTTGATTCCTTTAGTTGAGCCAAGAACGTTAGCGCATTCTCTGATGGTCTCTCCTTGACCGCGTTGACCCGCGGCTGGGCGAGCCCATGCTACTGCTAGCTTATATGGAGAAAAATTGGCCCTACGAAGAGGGTGACCCCAAATCAAAAAAGGGTTACCCGGCTGAGCAGGGGTGCTTACCATTTACACAAACCACTGGGGTGGAAATCTTTTGCATAAACATAAAACTATAAAATTTGGCGTCGTAGGAGAACGACCCGCTACAAAGTATATCCAAATCGTCTTAAGAGACTAAAAAGAGAAGAAAAATTAGGATCATTATACGTCTCTGGGAAACTGCCCACCTACCCCATATAATGATCCAAAAATGCCATCCCCTCAAATTACAGGCCATGTTTTCTGAAGTGTCCCAAACGGATGGCGCTAACCATTTGATTTTCCAACCGGAAATTCCGGTTTTTCCATGCAAATGGTAAGTACCCCAGGTCACCCTTCTGGTCGAGAAAACTTTTTGTTTCTCATGTAAACTGTTCGCCAAGTTTTGTCAAATAAATCTTGATAAAACGTTGGCTCGTCCAGGATAGTACGGGTAAGCGAGTGACCCTTCCTCCCGAGACACGTTTACTCCCTGTAAACAGGGTCTAAACGAATGTCTGTTATAACACCTGCCCCTATATCCTTCTCTCTTTCCAGATTGAAAATGACGGCCAAACATTTGTTACCAACGTAGAGCTGCGACTACTCAAGTCTTTTGTGAACTTTTGGTTTCACACGTCGTACTGAATAACTTGGTTTACGGCCTTGATCGTGCTTATTCCAACTCGTTCAATTCGTCAAATGATGGCGAATTTTTCTGAAGTTGAATTCTAAAACACTGTATCAAAGTTCAGGAAGAGAAAAACAGAGTCGTTTTCTTGTGTTCACGTCCGCCACAAAACGTGAAATTAGACACTTAAACGTGGTAGTCGTGAAGTGGACGTCAATGAAATGTATAAACAAGCGGGATGCACCTGCAAAGTTGTTGTTTTGCCAATCTTAGGCCTAGGCCAAGCGTCGAACTTTTCATGAGACGAACTAAACTCTAATTTGGGTCCACCTAAATTAAGTTAACATCGTTTGTTGGGTCATACGTCGAACTTAAGACGCAACGAACCAATCAACTGAATTAGACCAAAAAGCAATTTTAATAAATTTTCTCCCGACTGGCTGAGGCTAAATATACATGATCATACTATTTCTTCACATTTTAGTTTATTTCGTCGCATGTGGAGATCGACGTTTGTCTCGGAGACGATCTTCAACTACGTCGCCATTAACAAGGATTTAGAAAAATTTCCACCACAGCTGTATAAGATAAAGATGAAAATTTGCTGTGATCAGGGTTACCATGATATCGGAGTTGTCATAGCAAAAAAATGACGCCATCAACTATTTTACTTGGAGTCATATTTCTCGGTACTGGGAGCCCTTCTTCTAGAATCGTTCACGAGAGCTTTTCCCTCTAATTGCCCTCTCGATAATAGTGAAGTTTAGGCGGAATCTATAGGAACGTTATCGAGATATTTTAGAATGAAGTTTTTATGGTTAGAAATACAGTAAAACTGGACAATCTTGATGTTCGGCCGTTATCTGTAAAAATTGAAGCGCTTTTGAAATGCAATTCTAGTTCACCTTATAGAAGTTTCAATCTTTTAAAAAAACTTCTGTGAAAGATCATGGGGATAGCTTTAGCCGATTGCTAGAAAAAGAATAATTTGATTATTATGTATCGATGCGCTCTTGTAAGCGGTTTTATAAACATTTTGGTCTAGTTCTACAGATAAGAGAATAATTTGAAAACCGCGGGATAGATTTTTGTAAAAATTTAAGATTCTTGAGATTAACAGTCGTTTCCTATGACCTTGGAGTTTCAACTACAAATAAGGGCTACAACTTGCTTTTTTTTTTTTTAAGTTAATGATGAAACTTGTGAGGTTTTGACCGTGAAAAACCTCATCGAACCACCTTAACTGAGCCAGACGTCGAACTTTTCATGAACTTAACTTCCTAAGTTTGGTTCATCTCGTGAAAAGGTCGACGTTTGGCCCAGGTTTTAACCTATTGCCTTTTGCCGTTCTCGTTCCCGTCGCATTCCTCGTTGCTTAGGCTTCCTAATAATTTCTCATAGAAACTTGGTTCCAATGTAGAGGTTGATTCCAAGACTATACCGTGAAATACAGTCAAAACGTAATCCAAGATGCAAGCGAGATGCAACCGAACAAACTTTTGCAAAACACTCCTATTTAATATTTAAGCCTTAAGGTAGCGAAACCATACTTAAGTCAATGAGCGATTTCGAAGAAAACCAACTAAATAACAATAAATTCTCTCTTCACATAAATAATAAGTTTCCCCACCCTTTCATAGACTTCAACTCACGAAATCCTTACCCTTTTATATACGCGAAACGTGAAAAAGGTAGGCGGTCTTAGAAAGTACCCCTACAAAAATGGAGTGTTTTCACATGACGTCAATTCCGCCATATTCGTGTCCAAAACTATGAAACGGCGGCCATGTTGGTGCTCCAAACCAATACTGGGGGACTTGAACTTTTTAGTGATGTAAAAAACTTTGAGATCATTATACTTTTCCGGAAACTGCCCAACTACCCCTCCTATAAGTCAACATTAACATTAGCTTCTCACTTAGAGAAAAATGTTGGCTTAGGGGAGGGGTAGGTGGGTAGTTTCCCAGAAACGTATAGTGATCCCAAAGGAAATCTTTTGTTCCAATAACTTTGCATAGTGTTAGCCACGTCAGTGAAAATGCTCTATAACCTGACTAGGCTTACTTGAAGAGATAAGTCTTAGCACGCAAGGGCAGAACAGTTAAGGCCGTTGTAAGTTAAAAAAAGGGTGGAAGCTAAGTCCATAGTTAAGAAAATCGGTGCGGTTTTGATTGTTATTCTGACTTTTTGTTTATTCAAATTATTCCAAGGAAGTTTTGCTTTAAAAGAATTACAGTCCGATCAGTAATAAGGGGACCTATATTAACCGGTCACCCTTTATTAAGCGGTCTCTTACCAAAGTCTCGGAAATATGTATGAAGCGGTCGCCTGTATTTAAAAAGCGGTCGCGGTCAACTTTTTTGAGGTCCTAATGAGTTATGTTTTTATTTTAATTTATTATTATTCTTTTCATTGTCTTCACCTCTAATTAATGGTCATTTTAAAAAGGTGGACCATTCTAGTGCCACAGATACACTGTGGTTAAGTCGTCTTTCACTTAATCCTTTCTTTGGCAGAACGAAGAGGCTGAAACAGTGAGGTCAACTTGTTGAGTTGTGAATATTTCGCTTATAACCGCTTATAACTGGTTTGTTGACCCGTTTTAACGATCAGCTTGTTAATGAAGTCACCCCAAGGGTGACTACCGTTTTATACAGGTTTGACTGTAGATAACAATGGCCGTGACGTGGACGAGCAAGGAAGATTTTCTGTTGAAGATGTAGAAAAAAACGCAAAGTCCAAACCAAAGTTAGTAAAGAAAATACAAGTTTAACCTCCGTTGTTAATCAAACGAATTCACATTTTTTTTCCATTTTTTCCTCGGATATAGCTATTTTGAAAGATCTTTGTAATTTGCGTGTTCGTCTATTGATTGGCCTAAAGAGTTAGCAGTACGTAAATTATGTTATTCATACATTCATTGTCAAACACAACGTTTGGTTGTGAGAGCTGTTGATCTCAGTTTTGTAAACATCGTAAAGCCGCTTGCTTGAATCTCAGCGTCAAAAATGGTCACTGTTGCAGTTTCCCTACCCCTTATGTATAGAATTACGGT